ATTGTATCTGGAAGCAGAAGTGGATTATATGAATACATTTTTATTGTGAATTTATTGAAACTTGTGGATTTTTTAATTGATTTTTTAATCCCGATTTTGCTTTTTTTTATTCAAAAAATTTCTCACTTTGACATATTACCTTTGCGTGTGATGTGTTGAGTCGAATACCTTTGCATATATCAATAAATATATTGCAGGTAAATCGGATTCAAAATGCGAAATATGCGGAGCATAGAGTCTCTGACTCATATATTCCAAGACCACTTAACTTTAGGAGGTCTTCCAAATGGCTATGCTTGCTTGAGCACGTGAGAAGATAGCTGATAAAATATTTGTTATGAAAAAAGTGAAAAATTTATACTCATCATATCTATTCACCGATTACAGGGCAGAACGTCAAAGTCTAGCAAGTAAGGCCCGACGAAATATAGGAGTGGATGAGGAACGTATGGAAAAAAAGCCTGATGTTATGATGTTGGTAGAGTATCGAGAAAAAATCACCGAGCTTTTATATGCCAAATGTTCATGTATCCTCTGTACCAAAACAAAAAAAGCAGATGATTGTGTGAAGTTGTGGAGAGAGACACTAGATGGGTTGAGTTTGGTTGGCACAACATGAAGTAAATGATAATTCAAATAATTTTTCAGCTAATTTTTAATATTTTAATTTATAAAAAATTTATATATAAACTTTTTTAATTTTTATTTATCAGAAAATAATCCAGAGATTCATAACGAAAAGGTAAAGAAAATCTATAATTTTTTACTTAACTGGCTGGCTTATGAGGAATCTTGTATGCGTTGCTGGAATGATCTTTTTCTTCTGTTTGATCGAAGAAATTATAAATGTGCACCTTTAATTTTTTTTCTGATGTCTTTTATTGGATGGAGACAAATCATCCAATGATTGATATGATTACTAATTATCTCGCCTCTTTAAGTGATAATTCTCTAGAAATCATTCACAGCATTATTTGATGACGTATGACTAAGTTTTTCACTGCACAACAACTGAAAAAGAAGGCACATTTTATTTTTCAGCATCGAAAGGATAATACTTTTTGACAACATTTCATAGATTCTATTAATTATCCATATACACCGAAGCAATTGCATATGCTTTCCGCTGTATTGCTTTTAGATGTGTTTGCGAAGATATATCAAGCACGAAATCAGCATCCTTTGATTACTAAAACTTCATCTAATGATATTAACTCATACAAATTGCCTTCTTTAGTTTACGAAATAACCAAACGTCACCTTCCAAGGGGCTTTGTTACTTCTAGGAAACCATCTACAAACATTTTTTGCGATTGCATATATTGTGATTACACTAACTATCTAATTTGAATAATTGTAGTGTACTTGTGTGTGGACATGGTTATCACAATCATTGTCTACAAAGGTGCCAATCTAAATGCTTGATATCTTCAAGTCGAAATCAAAAAAAATCTCAACGTACTAAAAGAAAGTACGGCAAAAGATTAAACGAAAATGAGTTTATTGAAAATATCGAAATATCGAAAATACAGTTGTTGATGATCCGGGTAACAACATCAGCAATAGATGCAGTAACAATGAACATTTTATTAGAGCATGCAATAAAAAAATTTTTTTTTGGTAAATTTTGTTTTTATTAAATAAATTTGATTTTTTCATACATCATTCATGTTTTGTCTTAATCATATATCTTAAATAATGGTTGTGTTTACAATCATTTCCTAGACATTCATTATATTGAGGTTATTTTTATTATATCGAGAGATATGGTCAAGAGAAGAGTTAGGAAGAGAGTTATTCTTCAACCAAGTCGAAAACCAACCCTTTAAATACATTTTCGAATAGTACAATTTAATTAGCTAGACTATTTCAAAGGTTTGTTGTATGGTTTCTTCCACTTCTTAAATTTGAACTATTTGTTATTTGTTAACGAAACAATTGTTGGTGAAGTGATTGTTGACAAAATGAATCAAATCAACATTTATTTTTACACTATCAAATTCATGATTTTGATTGGTCAATCAATAATTGCATGGGTTAAAATTTTGCCAGAACAGTTCTTCTGTTCGCTATGATTATATAATTTTTTCAAATTGAATTTACATATTAATATATATTTTTTTATTTTTAATACAATAAAATTCGATGCGAAATGTTAAAAAAATTATGTACATCATGATGCAATTTTATAATTTAGGATCCTGATGTAAATCTTATTATTGAGAAACTTTTAAAAACACAGATAGGATAAGTTAGTTAAAGGGTTATGTCTGGTGTAACAAAAAATGAGAAATGATTCTTAAGATTCTTAAGGAACAGAATGGCCAAGAAAATTTCTTATTTGGAAAAACCAGAATATAGTATTTCTATTGCTCTTGAGTCAAAAAATTTTATCAAAAGTCTAGCAGATAAGCTTAATGATGACATAGAAAATTTTATGATACATAAATTTTATCCAGGAATCCTAGACTACCTTGATAAATTAATAGACAGTCATTCAGGTACAATTAAAGAATTGAGAAAATCTCAGTCTTTAAAGTACTTTTGTGATCAATTGAGCAAAATACATGTAAACAATTAGGCAATCCACCTGTTTAGTATTTGAAGATGCTATCAATGATGTTAAAGCTGCTTTAAATGCAGGAATGCATGTAAGTTGTTATTTATACATTCATATATTATATATAAATGGCTATTAATATTATCATTATTATTAAGGTTGTTTGGGTTCTTGATCCTTGTTTAGTTGAGTTGTATCCTAAAAACTATGGAGAAACAGAAAAACTTGATTCCCTCGAATTATTTGATCCAAGCAAAATGGATTAAATTTATTTTATTTTATTTTAGATCAACAAATGATTTTTAATTTATTTATTGATTTTATTTCTAATGTTTAAATGTTATTTTATTATTATCATTTTACATAATAAACAATTAAAAATGAATATGTCAATAATTCAAATTAATTTTAAAAAATCAATAAATAATTCATGATTTCATCCCAAGAGAAATCTCTCAAAATTTAATAACCACCAATTTACTATATGAAAAAAACTTTGGTTTTTTTATTTTGTTTGTTTTTATTTCTTTGAAATAATAAATATATATTTCATTAGAAAAAAATAGACTGATTAAGCTATATGTATATTTCACATGTTAAAAGGATAAGGAAGCTATACTTATCAAATATATCTTATTCCCTGAAGTTATTGCAGTTGTTTCTTTAAACAATTCTTTGTATTCTTTACCATGTTGATAATGTATAAGACGAATAATTAACTATAATTTCTCAATGTATCTTGAATTAATATAATAAATTGTATTAGTAATTGAATTTTGCACAAAAATGTATATGTATATAACTTAACAAATTATCAGTATAAATTTTATATCATGTTAAAATTTACATTCAAAATGAGCTGGGTGCTCTAATGGTTCATCATGTAATTAATAATATAAATCATAAATAAACCTACTTACATTTCCTCATTATTTACAAAAAAAAAAAAAACAAGTTTGTGTCACTTGAGATTATTATTATCTATATAGACAAATTGAATATTTTAATATTAATGTTAAAAGTGTGTTGACATTATGGAAGCCTTTCAATAGAAAAAGACCATAGCATGAAAAAATCAATTTTGTTTTAATGTCACCAGTATATATACAACTATTTGCTTAAAATATTTTTGGATGAGAAATCATACCCACTTTGTATATATTGAGATGTAAATTCCTTGAAATGCAGATCTTTATTTTCAAAAATTGGTTTTAGATCATGAGTGGGTCTTTTCCATTGAAAAGCTTCCATATTAACAAATGGGCAATGTTTTTTTTTTTTCAAACAAAATAGATTTATTTCAAGTTTCAAGATGACATGTAAATTAATGGATTAATAAAATTTTTTATTTTGTTTAATTACAATGATTTTATATAAAGACCTTGAAATAATAATTATACTTGATGAAAATTTACATAAAGAGAAATTATTGTCTATCAACTGGTAACCATAATTTCATTTCAGGAGGCAATTCTTCTTCAGCATAAATTCTGTCAGCAAAATATACTCTTCTTAATCTACAATTAGCATGTATTTGTACTCTTGATGTTTCAACATAATTAGTGCTATAAGCACGACGTGTAAAATCAGCAAGATTAAATTGAATCTGATTCCATCCTTCATCTAAACGCATTGGCATTGTACAAATATAAGGTTTTACACGAGTAACTGACTAAAATTACCAAGAAAAAAAATAAAAGTTATTTCTAATAAATAAATAAATATATGAGAAAAAGATAATTATTACCTGATAATTTGATGCTCTAAATCTTCTTTTAATGTTCTTATCATCCAATATTTGAACTTCAAAAGTAAAATATTTTTTCATATTTTTAACTATAAAAACAAGGATTGGTAGTTTTATACCAAGAGTTCGATTAAGTTGAGCAGGAGAAGTTATATATGTGGTGGCAACATTTGGCGAGGTAATCTCAATGACCATGGAATTTATATCCTCATCAATTATACATGTAACATGACTTTCTTGGTAGTCTTTGTCAGTTTCGGTATGCCAAATTTGGAGAGGTTTATTACTAGGAAGTTATTTGAGGAGACAATAAATAATAGTATATAAGAATGAAGCACATAAGGGGTGCAGACAATAGAAACACACCAAATACCAAAGGTAATACTATTGACATTTGGTGTGTTTTATTGTTCACACCTCATATAATAAAACGTTATATATGTATGTGTACATAACAGAAAATTTTATAGATAAAATTTATTTACTCTTACCCAATGCTGTATAGTATAGAAAGGAAACCTGACTTGTATATCAAGAAATAATAATAATTAATAAATAATTAATAGATTCTTTCTTATAAAATTATTTTATTATTACCTGAAAAGTGTTTCTAAACATTTTTTGAGTTTTAAACTTTTTTGTGATCTACCATTAACATTTTAATTTGGACGATCTACTAAACAAACGCCGCAGAATAACTCATATGGTACGAGGAGGGTGTTGAAATAAGCAAAATTTTTTATTACATTCGAAATTATAATATTTTATTGTTTCAATGGATTTAATATACTATCCTCATCATGCAAAACAAACCTTTTAAGGGATCGATTTTGGGAAAGCCGCACGATGTTCTCACAAGCAGAATTTAGTGGTTATAATATCATTCGGCGAAAACGAATTTATACTAACCATCACGTTTTTAGAGAACATTCTTGAAAATAGTGAGTGATGTTATTGAGGAATGAGGAGCTAGATGTCAAAGCTAATATAAAAATGGATTCTAGTATGCATTTCATAACTTGGGAAGTTAGAATTAAGTGTGTTGAAGAATGGCACAACAACAAAAATTTAAGAAAATTTGAAAATGACATACGAAAACAAACTCATGTTTGAAGGCGACAATAAAAAAAAGTGGAATCGACCCATCTAAATCACAAAGAACAAACTGCTTGAATATTTCACATCCCGTCTTATAACTGCATTTTATACTTGATCCTTCTCCAAGAAGATTTGTGCCAAAAAAACATCACCAAAACTATGCTAAGTGGATGTGTGTAGATGAACACTTTAATCTTTTGCAATAAAACGGTGAATATTAAAGTTGCTTATTATTATAAAAATTAAAAAATAAATGCGTACAATTTTATTTTGTTTGCACAGAAAACAAAATTACTATTCTCAAAAAAAACTTTTTTCGATTTCTTCACTAATAATTTCACCTTTTTCCAAATAAATTCATAAAAAAGATATTAAAATGACATTTAGTAAATTATTATCATCAGGAAGAAGGGGCGTCGTTGTATATAAAATTAATTATGAAATGTATAACAATGCTCTGGCTAACTCTGAAAGAGAAAGTCATAAAGATTATTTTTTTTTATTAGTCAAAGAATATAATGAGCTTTTTGAAAATGAAAAATAATTTTGTAAAGAACATTATATTTATTGGGATGAATTAAATAGTGCAATTTATAAAGAAGGCGATGTTGCTGAGCTAGATGTTGGAGCCAACATGAAACTGAATTCTAGTATGCATTTCACGACTTGGAAAGTTAGTATTAAGTATGTTAAACAAATGTAGCGCAATCTGTTTTTTTATCTGTAAAAGATTAAATTTCTTAAATCAACAATGGTTTAATAAGAAAGGTACAAGCCTTGATTGATATCATGTATACAGTTCACACTCTCTATAACAAACCTTCCGTCCTATATGTAATTTTTCTGCCTTTTTTCGTTATAGAGAACGCTTACTAATATGTTTGTTATAGAGAGAAATTATTATAAAAAAATGAATCAGGAACAAAAGGGAAGTTAATTATAGAAAGTCTACTTAGTGTTCGTTATATATATAGCGAACTGTATGCTTATAATATTTTTTTTAAAAATTCTGATTGATTAATTAGAATTTCGCAAAAGTCACTGTTACGTTTTCGGTTTAAAAACTTTAAAAACTTGTTTTATCTATAAACAAGATTAAAATTTCGGACGCAAATTGAGCACGTGTCACAATTAATTAATCGCATAAATTTTTTTCAATTCGTAA